ACAGAGTGTGCAGGGCTATAGAAATGATATTTCTAATGTATTTTACCTTGGTCAGATCATACCTAGAGTATGATATTCATTTCTGAGTACTACATTTTAGGAAGGGCATTGATTAATGGAGGGGGCAGGGGTGGGGGTGGGGGGTGGTAGGGAGGGGTTGTACTGAGGAAAGCAACCAGGATGGCAAAAGATCTTGGCTGAAGGAACTGGTAAAATGTAGCAGAGAAAAGGCTTAGGGAATGGAGAAAGATGGTGGGGCTAACTATCTTAATTTTTTGAAGGGCTAGGATGTGGAAGGATTAGACTCATTCTTAATGCCAAAGGGCAGAACTAAACGAGTCAGAAAAAGTACAAAGTACAAAGTGCAAAAGTACAAAGATGCCAATTGAAACTTGGTGCCAGAAAATTTAGAACTAACATTTAGAATTCAGAATTAACATTTGTCCTAACATTTAGAACTATTCAAAAGGAGAATATGTTGATTCTGGTTATAGTGAATTCCGCTTATTGAATGTCTCTAATCACAAGCTAGGTGAATTTTCCTTGGGTTTGTTTTAATGGAGAACCTTGGCCAAGTATGCAGTGCACTATGAATGGAGGCCAAAATCCCTATCAGTACTCAAATTCTGTATATGAATTTGTATATGAATATGTATACTAGCTACCCATCCTAGATTTATATCATCTATACATTTGATAAGCATACCATCTTTCATTTTATTTATGTCATTGATGACAATGTTAAATAATGTTAGAACATAAACAAATTGGAGGAAATCTTATGCCACCTAAAACCTTTAATGGTTACTCTTTGGGTTCAGCCAATTCAATGACTTTTGAGATATTATTAACTCAATTCCTGTAAAAGAAGCTACTTTGTTTGAATTGTCCACAGTTACATTGTTAGTAAATGGAAGTATCATGACTAGAATTTAGATCTTCAGACCCTCTATTCAGTGCTTTTTATACTATGCAACGAATGTTGAAATTTAACTTGTCCTCTTCACCGTTCAGGTAGATAGCTGGAACAGTGGAGAGAGTGCCTAATATGGAGTCTGAAAGACCTGTGTTCAGGTCTCATCTCTGACACTACCTATAGATCCTTGGGAAACTGATTTAACCTTTCTCATCCTGAATCTTTAAAATTAGGGTACTTGCCTCAGAGGGTGATTGTGAGGATTAAATGTAATGATATATGTAAAGTGTTTTGCAAATTTTACATTGAAGAATTATATAAGTGCTAGTGATAATTACTATTACCTCAGTGGATTTTCTCAGTTCCAAGCATGGAGTTGGGAGCTTTAAGACATATTAAATGGATGGAGAGTGCATCTGTGTTTGCTTTTTGTTTTGTTTTGTTTTGTTTTGTTTTTCTTGGAGTAGAAGGGTAATGGGGGGGGGGGGTGAGGTAGGCCATAGAATTACCTTAGAGGCAGACAATGAAAACATATTCATGATAAGTTAAGGAGTTTTGATTTTTTATTTTGATCTTTTCATTGAAAGCTTTGGTGGTAGTGGTGCCATGATTCATGTTATGTTTAGGGAATATCAATCTGATATTGATTGTGTTACATGAATTGGAGTGGGAAGAGGTTAGAGAAAAATAAGATAGGATTCTTCCATTTCTTAATCTGTGAAATCAGGAGTTGGGCAAGATTCAGTTGGATACGCAAGTGTTAGATATTGTGTTAGATACTGGGGATATAAAAATTGAAACACCCATCCTTCTAGCAAGAGGGCCTTTAAAACATAGACACAGATAAGTAAATATAATGTAGTTTGAAAAAGAAGGAGGGGTAGGAGTGGGGAGACAAGGAAAGAAAGACAGGATTCTGAAAATTGAGAGAGTATATTAGCATATTCAAGTCATGGTGGATGGCTTTATCAAAGAGTTTTTTTTTAAACACCTGGAAATGGTGAATAATAGAACCAATGGTTCCCTCCGCCCCGAATTCCATTAGCTATAGAGAGTGAATGTCTATCTACATAGATCAAATGAAAAGGAAGAGTACCACTTAACAGTACACAGTGATGCTTATTTATCATGAAGCTTGTCATGAGTAATCCTGTTGGGACACTTTATATGAGGAATAACATAATAACTGAGCTTCCCATTTGTGCTAACTTGAAAAAGCCACATAAAATCCTGCTAATCAAGATGCAAGGTTGTTTCCTCTTTTGTAATTCTATCTCTTCCAATGTAAAAATGAGGCACCTTGGCCCATTCATACAAGCTAGCAACATGAGTGCATAAAGGAAGTGCTCCACTCCAAAACTCTTTATAAATAGATGATGACTATGTAAAAAATACACCTTTGGAGAGATGATATATAATTTATGCATTTGCCAGACAGCTTTCTATAACATTTTTAATCTGTTGTGATAGGCTTGTAAGTGAAATACAGAATTGAAACCTAAACCTCATACGGTCTGATTTATGTGACAAAAAATATTATAGGAATATAGCATCATGGCTCTAGGACTAGGTAGGAATTTCAAGGTCAACCCTACCCCACCCCTGCCTATTTAGTAGATAAACTGAGGTACAGGGAAAAGTGATATGCTTAGCATTACACAGGTAGTGAGTTGTTCAAGGCAGGATTCAAACTGAGGTCCTCTGTCTCCTAATATGCCTATTGCACATAAGCACATTTATTACACTTTATATAGCTAACCGTAATATGGGTACATACATGTCCACACATGATAGAGAGACCTTGTGGCCTGGTAGAGACTGTGCTGAGGTTATAGTTATGAAACCTGGATTCAAATCCTGCCTCCAACCCTAGCTGTGTGAACATGGAAATAACCCTTAAACTTTTTTTCAACCTCATATCATCTAACAGAGATAACAGTCTATGTGGCCCAGTTCCAAGGTGGTTGTATGTGAGAAAATAATAAATTTGGCACATATGAATGACAACAGTTATTATTTTAGTAAAATCATTAGTCCTTTGCAAGTTCAGTATTCTCATTCTTTTTGTGGGACATTTAAAATACAAAGCAGTTAGGCATCTCTTCAAAGGCTTGAAGCAAGAGAAATATCTGAAAGGTATCACAATACAGGGCATAGCCATATTCTGCATTCGGATCCATTTGAAGTTATCTTGGTCAAAAAGGGGAAGGAAAAAATACAATTTATTTAATTTTCATCTTAGTGGTGAAAACCTTTGACTAAATGGGAGGGAAAAAAATGTTCTTTCTAAAGGGCTCCTGTGAAATCAGCCATACCTCAGAGGGGACTCCTGGCTATTTAGCATTTTCAAGAGAGAAGAGAAACAATGTTCTTTCCTGTGCCCCTGCAATGTCATGCAAAGCTCAGCACAGGAGAGAATTTACATCACCAGCAATAGCAAAGGAGGAATATGAGAATGCAATTATAGCAATTTCTTTGTCACTGTTCCAAGGGAAATGAAAGGACAGACGAGGGAGCTGGGCTTCCTAGAGCCCCCCGCATTGGGATGACTCACACCTGGTTACTCACTTCAGAATCCTGATTGCCTGAAGTGGATGCTGGCGATCAGAAGTGGGGGATGGGGAATGGGTGAACGGGAGGCAGGACATCCTCCTGGTTGGAGTAGAAAAAGGACCCCAATTAAGAAAATTCCGTTGGGCACCTGACTTAATTTCGTTTCTAGATCAGCTCCTGTTTCTCTATTCCCTGCATACCTACCCCACACCCACCCAACAGGTGCTACTATCCAATCATTATTTTTACAATATTCTAGCTCCAGGCTTTACATGAAATGACATGAAAGCCCCTCCCTCCAACCTCCATCTCATTTCTTCAATCACATCAAATACATCCAAAGTATATTCCTTTCTACTTCCCGTTTCAATTTAGAAGATCACAGATCCTGAACTACAAAATACCTGTAGTCAGGCTAGCTAAATGTCTCCCCTTTACCATAAGAGAACTAAGTCTTAGGACAATTAAGGGACTTTTCATAGGTGACTCAGCAAGCATCAGAGAAAGAATTTGAACCCATGTCTGTATTGAGAGCCAGTGCTCTTTACCCCCATCTCTTGTTGGTATATGAGCAGGGGGTTCGGGGTGAGATGCAGAAAACAAGGGAAAACGGGGCGGGGGCGGAGGGATTCTAAGTTAGGTGTCCAACAGAATTTTTCTGATTAGGGTGCTTTTTTATATGTCATCCTGAAGACACACTGCCACCCCTTTGCCAAGTAAAAATAAGCCTGAGGACAAGCCTTGCTTGGCTACCCATGTCTTGAAGCCAACCCTAAGCCCCAGATAGCAGATACCACCCTAATTGTGAGCCCTTGATGGCATTGCATTCAGTTCTCCATAACCCTCAAGGTTCTTCTTTGTTCCACACCACCAAACCCTTTTATTCTGACCTTCCAACCACAACCGTTCTCTATAAATACCTAAAAAGAGGTCAGACAGACACTAATGGCTTTGGAACACAAGACCCACTCAAAGGTATTTCCTTCTAAAAGGAAAAGGGAACTTTGACTCCGGCTAGATATGATCTCATAGTATCCCTTCCCCTCTCCCTCCTGCTACTACTATTTGGCCAACATCTTTAAAAGGTCGCCCACCCCCATGCCCGGGCAGCGGGATTACTGTCAGAAACCAGAAACAGTAGGCAAAGGGTGTTTTTTTCCCAGCACTCATCAGATCTGCTAAACAAGATCAGGTTACTTTTCATAGACTTGGTCAGGATGATAGGCTCAAAGGGGGGTCGTGACAGGGGGAAGTCTTTTTAATCCTTTTATGTGTGTTCGGTTCAATTGGTGAGGAGGGGGGTGGGGAATAAATGGAGAAAAGAGAAAGTTTCCATCTTCTGGGAAGTCTCCATTCCATGCCCATTACTGTTCCCATGGGGTTGGCAGGTCTTGAAGTTGAGTGAGTGTGCAAATAACTTAAAAACACAATAGAAGGGCTTCCCTCCACTCCCACCCCCCACCCTGATTTTTTTTTTTCTTTTCCTGCTTATAAATGCCTTCCTCTAGACTGAAGCTGGGCAGGACTCCAAAAGAGCAACAGTAACAACAAGCAGCGAGCTGATCAAAGTTAAGCTGCCAATTGCACAACTTTGAGCAACTCTCCTGGCCGGGCTGGTAAGGAGCTGGATCAACCCAGGAAGATCTGAGAAGGAGGGGGGAGGAAGGAGACCTCCACATCCTCCCACCTTCACACACACACACCCCAGTACCTCTAGACAGACAGACAGCACCCCAGCTTCCTTTGGGATTGCTGATGTTATTAACCTGCTCCAGAGATCATGGCTCCCTTTGGAAGAAACTTGTTAAAGACTCGGCATAAAAACAGGTAAAGCATTTGTGTGTATGTGTGCCTTTTTTTTTTTAATCCTCTCTCTCTCTCTCTCTCTCTCTCTCTCTCTCTCTCTCTCTCTCTCTCTCTCTCTCTCCTTCGATTTCCCTTTCTGGAGAGAAAAGCTCCTGGGGAACCAAAAAAACAAAAATCCCTTACAAGGGCTTACTCAAAACTTACAATGTGGGAGAAAGTTGTTAGAACATTTTGATCAAAGGAGACGACTAGAATGTGAGAAAGAGCAGAAAAAGGAGCAAAGTTTCCCACTCTCCTCTCCTTTCCTCCTTGCCCATTTGCCTGTCCAATATGCTCTGTCTTCCTCCCCTAATCCCTTTACCTACATCCCAACAGGACATTTTAATGAGGAAACCTGAAATCTACTCATTTATGTTCCCAAAGATGCTGAGATGGATTTTGCCCAGGCAAAAATCTAAATTGGGGCTTTCTCAGGTTGGAATTTTGATTCAAATACAGTATAGGGCTCATAATAACTGATTAAGACCCTCAAATACACCACTACTTTATAAAATCTATTATAAAACTTTTTTTTTAGAATCTAATAAGTGAGACTCTCCTGAAACTTGGGGGGCAGAGAGGGGTTTCCTAATGGAAAATGTAGATTTAGATAGATTTTACTTGTATAGAATGAATCTTTGAGTTTTTAGAACTTTCGAGGTGGATGGTAGGACCAGTTGTCTGCATATCTTGTTCTTCCCGCTCCCTTACCTTCGATTTGCTCTGCTATTTCCAGTCCATTATGCAAAAGGTGGAAATCCAGTTTAAAAAATGGGTGTGTATATACTTTGAGCTGGAATGCATGTATCAGTATCTATTAAAGTGCTTTCCCTTAGATGTTCACTTTTTTAAGCTAGAAAAAAAAACTCAGGATAATTTTAGATATAGGTTTAATTTTTTGAAAGTATTTACTTTGGCATGGGCATTTTTCCACTACTCTTCTTCCAATTGTACCTGCTTCTACATGTCACCATTTACTTAGTGTAAATTTAGAAAGCACACAATTACATGGTAGGAAATAGTATAATTATTTTTAAGTGTCTCTTTGGAATTATGGACTGATAAAATGTTAATGCAAATTTCCAGTCTTTGATTTCCAAACTGGAAAATGTAGTGCTTTGAATAGTTTTGTCCTGTGATTCTAACTCTACTACTCTTTTGGTTAACTGAAGTTCTCTTAAACAAAGCACATCTCTCAAAAAAAGAAAAAAAAGACGTCAGCTTTTTAAAATGTCTCCACCATAGTTTAAAAGGGATGTGAGTTTCCTAGTAATTAAACAAATCCTTATCTATTCATTAACTAAGACAATAAAGTTCTTTGAACATGACTTAATCTTGTTAATGGTTATTCTCATAATTAACTTATTGTGCTAATCATGGTAATATGTAAGAATCCATAAAAGGAAAGCCACTATTGTTTTTACAAAACAATAGTGGTCAGTAGGAATTTGAGGTGATTCAATTTATATTAAATACCGTCAAATTATATCTGCGTCATTTGTAGAAAAGTTCACTAATTCCAAACTTAGTCCAGGGTTTAGACAAGAATCTTTATATGCTCCCCAGTAAACTCTATTCACTGAGATTCATTCTCCATTCTCATTATATCAGTGTTAATACTGGACCAACTATTTTGTAGGTATATAAACCTGCTCCCTTTGAAGAAAGTAAGTCCACAAAGTTCTTTAAAGATAAAATTTCCAATGCGTAGCAATGGTGAAAAGGTGAAAGTACATTGTAAAATAGGAGGATTTCATTTTGGAGTGTCTTTGAGAAATTGGAATGTCCCTCCTGATGGAGATGCTTTGTCAGGGATAGAGCATTACCGGCAAAGGTGGGATATTGACAATATATGGAAATTTGCTTTGCTAAGACAAAGGTTGGTTCTCCTTTGAAGACTTTTTGTGTATGGTATTTATTTAAAGTAGTGAAACCACAGCATGTCTACGGTTAATTTGAAGAGATGAATATTCTGATATTTCAAACTGAAAATGGGGAATATGCTATATAGGCACAGTGCAGTAATCTACCAGTAATGACCCTTCCCTCTTCTGAATAGTTAGGAATACAATAAATTACTTTCATAGCTAGTAGAGGGGGAGCTGCTGGTGAGATGGACCTGATTGAGTTCATCTGTTGATTTTTCCCAGGGTCCTGTGTTTTTTTGGCTTTGTGAACAAGTTTTGTTCTGCAGATAGAAATCAGAGACTATTCCTAAAATGAAGAATGCACAGGGATGGGAAAAAAAAAAAAAGGAAACATCCTCCTTTCCTATGATATGCAAATTTCAACATAAATTAGATTAATTATACAATAGCTGATTTGGGTTAACTAATTCATAATAGTGTAATTAACTAAATAATGGGCTATAACTATTACATATTCTGACTGCTGATGAGTACATACCATATTTCAGATTTTTTTTTCTTTTCTTTTCTTTTTCTTTTTTTTCCCACTGGGTCTATATTTTCATTAGGGCACCCAGGTGGTGCACCAGATCTAATGCTAGGCCTGGAGTCAAGAAGACTCATCTTCCTGAGTTCAAATGTGACCTCAGACCTTACTAGCTTTGCAACCCTGAGCAAGTCACTTAACCCTGTTTGCCTCCATTTCCTCATCTGTAAAATGAGCTGAGGAAGGAAATGGCAAATCATTCCAGTACCTTTGACAAGAAAACAAACAAACAAACAAAAGTGATCATGTATAGTCAGATACAACTAGCAGATGTACTGTTTACATTGTTGTATTAAATGCTTAGATGATATTAAGTAAACATATGTGCACTGAGATATCTGTTAAAAAAGTAAATTGAAAGGAGAACTCAAACATAATTGTTTCATTATTAGCAGGAGAGAGGAGAGGAGGAGAGATGAAGAAGAAGGAAGAGGGAGGGAAGAAGAATGGACAGGAGAAGAAGGGGAAGATGGAGGGGGATGAGAATAGCAGATATGGTACTAGAGATTTTAACACACACCATACCTTTCAGACTTCTCCCTTCTGTATTAACTACATTTCACATGGGATAAAAATCCAAATATTCTGAAAAGACCACATGAGAAATGAGTTTATTGAACAAGGTAGTGAAGTAAGTGAGCCTTCCAAATTTGGTAATAAAGGACTGGGCTTTTGGAAGCAAATCGTAATTAACACAAAACTGAAAAGGCTTGTACTTTGTAGAATGTGGTACGAACATAAAGGCTATTTTATTAGCTATGTGCAAGGTGAGCTTAGTTCTTAACACAAAGAAGCTAATGTTTCATAAAGTATCAGTGAGGTTTGATACTTAATATCATCCAAAGCCTAAAGGGAGACAGAGAATTCAATGGATCTGGAAACAGAGCTGCCATTTAATACAAGCAGGAAAACCTTTTTTTTTTTCCTCCCTTTCAGTCACATCAGGTCAAGAGTTTTGGGGAAAATTATGGAGAAATTCTCAGTTCTTTAAAATATCATTGCATTAATTAAACTCTTCACAGTATCTATTCTTAAGAATTAAATCACCTTGACAGTGAACGAATAACCTTTATTTTAATACAAAAGTCTTTAAGCTGACTTAAAAAAAATCCACTAGCTTTTTAATCTTTCAATTGCAAAATAATTTAACAATGGAATGTATAAACTGGAAAATTATAATTGAATAGTATTTCAAGCAAGGTAACATACGACAGGGAGAAGTGGAAAGGAGGTGGGGAATACTTTGTTTTTCACACTAAGCTTTTGAGAGAGAGAGAGAGAGAGAGAGATTTCCATTCTCGATTTATGTAACCAAGAATCCTCCCTAAGAGGATGAGTGTGAATTTCAGAATATCTCTTTGGTCTGTTGAGATGTAATCTTTTCTTTGGCTATGAAACAATAAAATGCTCTGTGACTGAATCCCAAAATTGATATGTATATCTCTAAGCAGATCTCAGGTCACAGTAAAGAATGAAGAAGATGGAGAGGTTGGAGCTCTCCTTTCCAGTAAATTATTCAAGTCCCTAAAGAGTAATAAACCTTCCTGAAGACATTTTCCCTCTTGTTTGAGGTAGTTGAGTGGCTTCTATGACTCATGTAAAGTAAGTTAGAACAGCAAACTTGATGGCATCTAGCCATTCAATAACTGGACATATAATCAGAGAAGAGAGATGGAATTGCCAAAACATACCAATGAACATTTTTGGGTTCTTAGCTAATAGACTCTCAAAATTACATCTGTGAAAGACAATTGTTCATTTAGATTAGATTTTTTAAAATAAAATACTATTAAAAAAAAAGATGATTCTCAGTATCATACATAAGCTCTTTAAAATGTATATTTAGGTATACACCTATATCTGTATCCATATCCACATACCTATATTTCTGTGTCTCTGTCTACATGTCCATAGCTATATCTATATATCTGTGTCTATGTCAGTGTCTATGTCTGCTTCTATGTCTACCTTTGTTTCTATATCTAATCAGTCAATAAGTATTTATTAAGCATGTACTATGTGCAATGCACTGTGCTATGCTCTGAGGATATAAAAAGAAGCAAAATATGGTCCCCACCTTCACCTCATAATCTAATGCGTTATCTAAAATATATCTATGTTTATATTCATCTCTCCATATGTCTAATATATTGGATTGTCACCATAAAATCAATTGTAAGGTACTTGCTGAAAAACTGGTCAATGGTCAACTCATTAAATGAGTTCCTCTGGTACTTTAATCCTAACTGTTCACATACCACTTAAAGGATGTATTATTTTTTTTTTTTGACTAGGCAATGGGGTTAAGTGACTTGCCCAGGGTCACACAGCTAGTAAGTGTTATGTGTCCGAGGTCGGATTTGAACACAGGTCCTCCTGACTTCAGGGCTGGTGCTTTATCCACTGCACTACCTAGCTGCCCCTAAAGGATCTACTATTATCCTTACAATATAAAGTACGAGTTAGGAAGGCTTTTCTTGCATTTAGGGTGGACTGCCTGTGGGCAAACTCTTAGAAAGACATGGATA